GCCCAGAAGACACACAACTTCTTAAGACGTTAATATTAGGTTAGATTTAGGTTGCCAGCATCTAATGAGAATTTTATTTTGACATCCATTAACGACGTCAAATGACGTTGATATTTGGTTGATTTTAGGTTGATTTTAGGTTGTGTTGGAAAGTCACCAAAGAGACCTTATTTATTATTGTTTAAAGTGGGAGGAGCTACTCTGTATGTCCCGCCCTATCTTCATGTTTTAGTTAAAATTACGTCACACATCAAAAGGCCACTGCAGGTAACCTATTAAACATCACTGAGTTTTCTCACTCAGGAAAATGGTGACAAGTCCTGGTTATGATATATAGTATTGTTTGGTAACGCATCGTCTCTGTAATGATGGTTGTCAGTGTTTAGTCGGAGCATGTGTTCATTGGTGTGTTGATGATCAGCTGCAGGTGTTCAGGGCCACACAGGTGCGATGCAGAGATACTTCAGACTCAATGCTCTGAAATAATTATCCCTCATTATCATACATCTGCCAAAAACATCCAATCCACTCACTCTAAAACACTTTCAAAACCTCTTGTAAAAGAGCGTCAGGAGTGCTGAGTGCAGATTTTTCTACTTTTTTAATTTTTTTATTTTACTTCATCTGAGATAGCTGTACGTGTGATTTTATTAGTTATGAAGGAGTTTTCACCTTATTGTACAGTTGTGAAATTCTGATTCATATTATGAGGATTAGGAATAACAAATGGCAGTAAACATCTACTTGCAGTACAAATCAGTGTTTTATTATTACAGTACATTAAAATAAAAAAAAAATAATCTGAAAATATCAACATCAAATTTGTAACTTTCATTCATTCATTTTCCGTCGGCTTAGTCGCCACAGCAGAATGAACCACCAACTATTTTGACATTTGTTTCATGCAGTGGATGCCCTTCCAGCTGCAACCCAATACAGGGAAACACCCATACACGCTCGCATTTACTACGGCAATTCACCTATAGCACAGAATTGTCAGCTGGACCAGCTGGTACTCAAACCAGCGACCTTCCTGCTGTCAGTCGACAGTGCTAAACATTGAGCCACCGTGCTGCCCTAATTTTACAACATCAAGCAGTATATTAAACAAGTTTTTAAAGGTTAAATATCAAATAAAGACTACAAGCCTTGACACAAGTTGCATTTACAATATATATACAGTTAAAAACAGAATTATTAGCCCTATATATATATATATATATATATATATATATATATATATATATATATATATATATATATATATATATATATATATATATATATATATATATATATATATATATATATATATATATATATATAGAATATATATATATATATATATATATATATATATATATATATATATATATATATATATATATATAGATATATATATATATATATATATCTATATATATATAGATATATATATATATATATCTTTATATATATATATATAT